CGGCGAAGATTCCATTAGGCGGGTCCACGTTTCGCAAGCATAGAGAAGGGAGGGAATGACCGTGGCCGAGAAGACCTGAAGCTTAGTGCGGAGCGACAGACCAGGTAGCTTCCACACAGTGTTACGCAACCGATGAAAAGATATTGCCGCTCGACGGATTCGGAGTGAGACCTCTGCTGTTAAACTGGAGCCAGTCATAAGCACACTGCCCAGGTATGGGAAACTCTCCACTCTCTCCACAACTGCCCCATCACCGATTGGGAGTTGTGGGGGTGGAGTGTCCGATGGTACAAAATACCCAGGCAGGTGCTTAGTTTTGGTGGGGCTGATTGTAAGGCCCCACCTCTTAGTGGCACGCTCCAGTCTCAGCAGCAGCATCTCCAACTCCTCCTCTGACTGAGCAGCTATTACCAAATCATCAGCATACATAACGTGGTTGAGCAATAGGGAGCTATCCCTTGACCGCACCCGGGCATCGATCAGCCTCCCATTATATCTGTACCATATGGAGATTCCCCCGGTACAGCTATTGAAGGCTTCACGAACTACGTGGTCAAAATAGATGTTAAATAATGTGGGAGCCAGAGAACATCCCTGTCGCACCCCAAGGTGTACAGGGAATGGCTCTGACTCCCGGCCACGTAGTTTTACCCGGGCCCGCTCACCATCATGAAGATCCTTAATGATCGTGAGCAGAGGGTCAGGTACTCTAAAAGCACGAAGAACGACCCAGAGCCCAGGCCTACTGATGGTATCATAGGCCTTGACCAGGTCAATAAAGCAGAGATGTAGGTCTTGTTGGAATTCCCTACACCTCTGCTGTAGCAGACGGACAGAAAATATGGCATCTGTGCAGGATTGCCCTTTCCTGAAACCGCATTGGGGCTCCGCAAGCCTCTCCTCAGCGTGCCTGGCAAGGCGATGCTGAATAATCCTTGCCAGGACCTTTCCCGGCACACTGAGGAGTGAGATGCCCCTGTAGTTGTTACAGTCTGTGCGGTCCCCCTTCTTAAAAAGGGGGACCACCAGGGCATCCTTCCAATCCTGCGGAACCCGTCCAGTGGTCCAGACTGTTGTTATGATGTCATATAGGGCAGTCTGTGCACAAACGCCACCCTCCCTCAGCATTTCGCTTGGGAGATCATCTCTGCCCGCTGCCTTTCCTGGTCTCAGACTCCGGATCGCCTTCAATACTTCCTCAGCAGATGGCACCTCAGCCAGCCACTCACAGGGGGTGACTTCTTCCAATATTTGAGGCACCGCAGCCTCAGCAGGGTCATCCTCACTTTGTGCCACGATGTTTTCCTGGCTGAGGGATTTTCCCTCCCCCAGGACCTCACAGAAATGCTCAGCAAATCTGCGAACCTGTTCCTGGGGGTCGGAGATTGGATCACCGTTTTTTCCCCTAATGATGGTAATAGGTGTGGCGCTGCAGGTTACTTTTTTGATGGAGTTAAATAGAGATTTGTGATCACGGGCCACTGAGGCAGACTCCATCTCCTCAGCAACCCGCGACCACCACACATCCTTGCAGCGCCTCACGGCTCTCCAAACCTCCGAGCGAAGGCTGCGTAAGCCTCCTCATTCTCTGACGTGGGATTCTGTAACCGATGACAGTGGGCCTGTCGCTTTTTCTCAACCATCCTGAACACCTCCTCTGTCAGCCAGGGTCTCTGGGGAGGTCTGGACCGCGTACCCAAAGCAGCCATTGCAGCTGCATGAGTCACAGTCCTAAACCTCGCCCATTTACCCTCGACATCAGGAGGAGTCGGGGACGATGCCAATCCCAGCCGCAAGCGATGATGAAATTCTCGCTTGCAACTTTCATCAGATAACTGAGACCAGGCCACTTTATGTTGGAATGGGGTCCTGGGTGTACACCCACCACCGGAGTGGAAGAATGGCAGGCGCATCTTACAGATGACTACTCGATGGTCAGAGGGCAGATCAGCTCCACGGTAGGTCCTGGTGCCAAGGACATGGGCTCGCATTCGCTGGTCCGTCACTATGTAGTCCAGCAGATGTTCTTGCTTGGACCCGGCATGCATCCATGATGTTGTGTGGATGCGCCGATGCCGGAACAGCGTGTTGGTAATTACAAGCCCATGGGCTGCACAAAAATCTAGCAGCCTCCTACCGTTGTTATTGAGCTGATCTGGCCCATGCCCTCCAATCACTCCAGACCAGGTGCCAGTATCATGACCAACTCGGGCATTGAAGTCACCCAACATGATGACTCTATCCCAAGGGGCCACTTTAGCCAGCACCTGTGACAGGAGGTCATAGAAGGCATCTGACTCATCGGCTCTGCCTGCATCCCTCCACGGATGTTCATCTTCGGTGGGGGCATAAGTAACCACGACCACCATTCCTCGCCTCCGGTTGATGGGAAGGCGAGCCCAAAGTAGCCTGGGGCTTACAGCTTCCCACACCTCACCGCCACGCTCCCACGCCCCCTTCATTCTTTTGTTCAAAAGAAGAGCCACACCCTGTTGTTTGG